ATTGTCCATTAAAATGTCAAACGGGCTTTGATATGTCATGGATCATAATTCTGAGATTTTATAAAAACTAAACTGCATTTAAAAACATGCAAACACGTTTGAGAAGAGTCAAAGAAGGATATCCATATTAGTTTTTCTATCATGAATTCTAAATTATAACAGAAATAATCTGCTTTTAGAATAGCTATTCTTAAAGTGCAATCATTTTCATTCAATTTAAATCTGTGATTTCTTTAAAAGAATAAACCATCAAGGTTTTTACTTGAAATTTATGTAATAGAAATAAGTATCAAGAATAATTTATATAATGTTGAAGGTGTATATTGTCATGGATAAGAAGACATAAAACTCAATGACAAGTTTTTTGTTTTTCTGAAAAATTCTGTGGCTGGATACAATTTCACAATTTCATCTATAGACAGAGAAGAAAGCTTTGAGGGATATACTTACAAACCAATAATATCTTTAAATGAAGCAAATGGGTTAAAGCCAATACCTTGTACCTGGTAAATATGGTATTATTACTAAATGTGAGAAAAATACACACACACACACACATACACACACACACACACATATATATACACACCATTTCTTCAAAGTAAATATAAGTTTTAGGGTTTTTTCTTCGTCTCTTGGATTCCACTTTAAATGTATGGTACCAAATCAAATAGACCAAACTGCGTTGTCTGTTTTCCTTTGTTCCTCACTGGAGAAGTTAACTAAAAGAGCACACATGCAACTCATCCCAAAGCTATTCTCAGGAATGAAATAAGGACAGCATCGCCTTGGGTAGAGGCAACTCAACTTAGTCACACATATCATCATGCTAGTTGTCTACTTCTATGACATCACCTCTGTTCATTTTATATTAAGAATTGTCCTCATCCTTGTCCTAAGCTCACTTTCCAACGTTTTAAGGTGTGTACCCGAAATACCGACTCAAAAGAGCAGGCTCAAAATTAAAGAGGAGTAAATCCCTTCTCTTATTTTCTTTATATTTTCTAAAAGTTTCTGTGGTTATTTCTCCTTAAATGAACATTAATTTTTATTTATTTCCATTGAGGCTATGTCCATTTCTTTTTTTTTTCTGACTGCAAGATCAGGAAAAGAATAGAATTAAAACAATGTGAGAAAAAAGTTCTAGATGGAAGCCTTTTGGCTTAGCAGTTTGTAGGTTTTCATATCCTGCATTAGTTTCAGGTTTTAATATATATGAAAATCAGTGGTCTTGTATCTATGCATATGTGTCATCTATAATATAATTTTGACAGATGGTGAGCTGGATAAATCTAGTTCTTGACTATAGAAAACCTCGGTTTGACTTGCACTCTACCAAAACTTGTTTAAAAAGGCACTCACATGTATGTATTTTTTAAATAAAGATTCATTTTTTTTTGGCCTGCCCTTATTTCTCATGGAGATGCTGGCATCCACATCTTTGATGGTCCCATCTGCACATTTTACCTGAGCCGTTGTGATTTTTTTTAAAGGATTACACCATGCATAATGCTGATGACTATGCTATTTTACATCTCCTGCTTATTAAAAATAAATGTGTTATCTTGCCCCTATTTGCACCATCTAAAATTCTGACAACAATATCTTACTTACAAAAATACAAACCTAGAAACCAGGAAGCCATTTCTCCCACTAGCAGCTCCAGAAAGACTGCTCATTGAAAATGTAATACACTGCTGCCGTGTCACAGGTCAGCTGGCAAATGGCAATCTGAATTTTAAAAGGAATATGAATAAAATTCTGTTTTATTTTGAAAATGAACTTTCTGCCCTCCATCATGAATCCAATATATGTCTTAATCTTCTATGCTCTTGAAGCCTGCGGCTCCTGGCTGAGTCCTTTGACTCCTGAACCTAATAAGGAAATAGGTTGTTTTCTCATCCTCATCTCATTTTTAGAAGGGCTGAAACAAACAGTCCCCTATTTCAAATGTAATTGACAAAGCATAAAAACATGTATGTTATATAATTTTAGGTTTACAACCAACCTCAGCACTAGGATGTTTTATTTTTAAATTTGATTAAGATGTTATACCTTTGGAAATGTGCTGTCAAGATTTGAAATCAAAATTTCCAAGTGTACAATGCATGTTTACCTTAGAACTGTACATGCGAAGCTGATAAAGGATAGACTAGGTAACAGCACACTTCAGTGGAGAACATTTTCATTTAACCTGGACATTGTTTAGAGCCATACAGACAGATACAGAGGCAGAATTCAAAAATATATATTTATTTACGGTTATTGTTATTGCTTAAAAATCTTAGGGGGGGGGTGCCACAAATCTATCTTCATTTGTTTTTCTTTCCTAAATAGAAATTAATTCATTGTGCTCACATCTTTCTGCATGTGCTGTTTCCATATTTATTTAAATTGAAGATTTCTAATTAAAAATAAAATAACTCTTCTTTCCCAGAAGATTTTGATTTATGGACATGCCTTTTATTTTATTTAAAAATCCTCTGAATGCTACAGTGCCATGGTGTAATCGGTCTTGATATTTTTCATAAAATAATTATGAAAACTACTTTTTAAGAAGAGAAATGGTAGAATGTGAAACTCAATGCACTTAGGCATCCTGTGCTGCTGTTGTAACTTATAATCGTATTTGTGTGGTATCATTATAACTGAAATGATCACTGTAAGCAAACAAATGCTAATGGTTCCATTAGTGTGTGGACATGTAGTGAGTGAAAGAGGAGTGCCAGAGAGGGTGAGACTCAAGCACACTTAAGCAAAGAGTTATTTTAATAATTGAATTTTGATTTAAACTAAATGTAGCCCATTACCATTTTTCAGAACATAGTTATATTCTAAATTTCTTCAGTTATTAGACAGGCATTCCAAGCTCTAAGAGGAATTAACATATTTGCAGGGATGCTTAGTTATCAAGTGTTAGAAACATGGAAAATTTTTAACACTCTAAATAACTGCATTTGGTCTCTACCCATTTTCCTGATATTCCAGTAATGCAAAGGTTCAAAGAAAACATGAACCTAAGGAAATAGACCTGACACATCATGTACAATTTAGTGAATAATTACCAAGTATCTAAATATTGAATTAATAACTAAGTAAACACAGATGTCTGAGAGGTATCTAGCAGTGAAGAGGTCTTTAGTTATCATATAGTTAGACAAACAATATGATAGTTTCCATTAAGGAGACAAATGAAACGATTCAGGCAGCTAAAAGTGAGTTAGAGGCACAGAGGAAGGAAGATAACCTGGCAGGGGGAAAAATGACCAAGGAAAGTATTGTGGAAAAGGCCATGCTTAGGATTGTTCCTAAAAGATGACGTGCAATGTTGGAGGGAGGCTTTGATTAGCTTCTTATGCAGTGAGATAATTTTATACTTTGTATAGGAGTAGCGTTTTTAAATGTGTAAGACAAGGGATTTATCTATGCTGGGTAACTGAAAAAAAAACAAATTATAGAGTCCAGTTAAGGATGACTTTTTAATATGCATTTTACTGCTTTGCCATCAGCTTGCAGCCATGGAGTAAGAAAGGGTTCCAAGGTTATGTGCTACATAAACTAAGCCAATTAGGACAAGTGCATTTACCTAGAGAATTATTGTTCTAAAAAGTTAGGAATATAAATCATGCCCAAATGATATATAAACATCTTATAAGGGAATAGGTGTGGGCATAGGAACTGGATTGACACAAGCATACTACAATATGCAATTTGTTTTATGTCAATGGAAATGATCAGCTCTGTCTCTTACTGGATGGGAAGGCAGCAAAGATGGTGTGGCTGTAGATACTCAGTCTGCATTCCAGGCAGGAAGAAGAATGGAAAGGGCAACAGGATCCACATGCCAGCTGTGTCAGCCCTTAATAAAGAACTTTCCCAGAAAGCATACCCAGTGAATTGTGTTTCCTTTTCTGTGACCAGAACTTTGCCAAATGTATACTTTTAGCTGCAAAGGAAGCATGAAATATATTTTTAGCTTGGGGAGAGCCACTACACATAAAGTGGAATGTTATTAGTAAATAAGAAATGGAGAATGCATGTTAGGTAGTCTACAAACAGTGTCTAGCGTCCAGCTGCTGAATTCGAATTATTCACAGAGTATATTGGAAATAGGCATGTAAAAACCCAACATTTCCCTATATAGATGTTCAAGGAAATTTCAGGGCACAACAAACCTTGGTAGCATAGAAAGGCAACTAACTAACTAAAATAATGTTTGAAAACCAAGAAAGGACATCACCTATGGACTGATTCCCTGAGGCACTGCTTTGAGAGAAAACAGCAGTAATGAAACAAGCTAGAAAGCCAAGACGATGGTAGGAATTTGAGGTGTTTCTCAGAAGCACTCTGGCCACTTCCCTAAGAAGATGGTGAGGCGTGGTGCCTCATGGCCTGCGTGGCTGAAGACCTTGGGGGACACAGTGCACACTGTGTTAACAAATCGCTACAGCCAACTAAAGGTAAACCACAGCTGTATCAACTACTGAGAAATGGCACCCTGTTTTTCACTGTTGCAGAGAACTCCAACACACCATCGTCCACAGAGTTTACAAAGCCTACATCAAGTACATATCACCTAACATCTGATGTTAAGAATATTTAATATGAAGGGGAAGCCAAGGAAACAAAAGACAGAGCAAACTGAAATAAGATTATGTTTAACAGTGAAATGACTTATGCATAGTATACTAAGCAATTATTTCAAAAAATTAAATATGCTGGAAGTAAAAAATAAGCTTATAGAAATATAAATTTTAACTTGCTATAAAGCCTGGATAGCAGAATGGATATTGATAAGGAGCTAAGAAAGACTTCATATATAACATAAAAAGATGTCAAGAGATATAAAATTCAAAATGTAAATAAAGAGGCATGGAGGGGATATTCATACATTCCAATAGACATCCAACATAAGAGAAGGCGGTATCTCCATACTGTTTTCCATAGAGGTTCTAATAATTTGCAGTATCACTGATAGTGCAGAAGCATTCCTTACTCTCAAAAATATGGACTACTTCATAAATTGTGTGTCACCTTTGTGTAGGGACCATGCTAATCTTCTCTGTATCGTTCCAATTTTAGCATATGCGCAGGGAAAGTGAACACAGGTGAATTATTTTTTCAAATCACAATGTTATTTTTGTTTCTATCTAACAAAATGTGAATAAGTCTGTTCTCAGATTTCTCCACAAGAGGGAAAGATACTTTAAATTCATAGTTTTTTTCTACCTTTATAATTGTATAAGAACTAAAAGTTTTTATCTGTATGAGAGCTTAGAAAGTTACCTGTTGTACAACTTAATAGAGAATGAACTGAGCAAGGAAAGATTAATGAATCCAGAAACCAAGCATTTTGTTTCAAGAATAACATATGGATTAAACATGATGTTAAATATAAGTAAATATGGATTACATTAAATAATTAACAGATTATAGAACATTGTCATTGATCAGAGAGTTGGGGGTAAAAGCCAAGCAAAATACAGCTGCACAAAGATCCTTATCTTCATGTGACAAAGATTTCTTAGGATACTAAAAAGGTAAAGAAAATATAAGAAACTGTCTTAATTGAAATTAAATCAAACTATTCTTTAAAAGACAGTGTTGTGGATATTGGAAGGCAGGTAAATAGAAACTGTCTACAATAGAAGTGTCATAAAACTAACTAAAACATGTAAATAACCCTTACAAAATGCAATCACAGTGAATTAGCACTACGTGCATCTACAAATGGCAAACTATTCAGACAGGTTACAGGTTGGTGACCATGGTGAACAGAAACTGTGATTCATCAATGGAGAAATGCCCAGTGGTAGAGTCTGAAAATAGTGTGGTGAGTTCTTAAAAAGTTAAATCTACGTTTACCTAGTGATCAAATAATACCATGAGGGGATATTTTCCCTAATGTAAGAAAATCTTACGTCCTCCCTGAAACCTGTACAGAAATATTAGGAGACTCTGTATTCACAATCTCCAAAACTATACAGGATATATTTAGGGGATGAATGGACAAACTTTGTTGCATCCATACAATGGAATACTATTCGGCAATAAAAAAGAATAGATTAACCAAATGACAAATTAACATCAACAGTAATAAGTCATGTTGACAGTATCTAGCATTGATAGGCTGTGATGAAAATGACAAAGGTAAATTTTTGTGACATTTTTCCTAAAAACTGATAACTTCAGTGTAATCATGAGAAAAATGTCAAGCAAATCCTAATTGAGGGGTAGTCTACAAAATGCCTGACTAGTGCTCCTGAAAATTGTCAAAAATTGTTAAAGTCAGGGACAGTTTGAGAGACTAATACAGTCTAGAGGAATCTGAGAAGATGTGACAAGTAACATAACTCAGTGATCAGGGATGAGATCTTGGATAGAAAAGGATTATATTAAAATGAAGGAAGTAGGAATAATTTATGGACTTCAGTTAATAATAGTACATCAACATTGATTAATTGTGACAAAAACACTAATAAAAGATATTAATAATAAAGGGAACTAAGTACAAGGGGATATAGTAGCTGTGTACTATCATACTTTTTCTATAAATCTGAAAGTATCTTAAAATGAAAAAGTTCATTAAATTTTTTTAAATGAATGGAAAGAAACATTAGAATTAAAGCAACAAGTGAAAAAAATATGAAAAAAAAAAACCATAGAAAGAAAACTATTGACATGTACATCAACTTGGATAAATCTTAAAGACATTATGAAGTAAGAGAAACTAGTCTCAAAAAGTTCCATAGCATACGGTTCCATCTCTGTTCCTAAAAGGCTGTATTGATGGAGGACATATCAGTGATTATCAGGGGTTGGATGTTGATGAAAGATTCGACTACAAAGTGATAGCGCCAGGAATTTTTATGGAATGAGGGAATAATTCTGTCTCTTTGCTATGGTGATGGTTACATAAATCTATATACATGTTAAAATTTAAATACGGTGCATGAAATTAAAAAAGTTTATGTTGATTAAAAAATAAAATGAATAAAAAATAAAGAAGCAAGTTACAAAGATCTATGTATCATAGTCTGCCTTTGGAGAGAAAAGGGAAGGCAAAATCAACACACAGCTCTGTAGGGTTGAATACAGACAGAACAGTCATTGGAAAGAGCTAAGAACCCACTAACCAGATGTACATGGGGCAAATCGAGCTAGAAGACGACTTTACAATGTTTAGTTTTATTATTTTTGATTTCATTATTTTTCACAGTAAACTAAGAAGAAACCTAAGTATGTGTACCTAAAGATTTTTATAGGAATAATAATTCTTATTTATAACAGCAAAAACCTAAAAACAAATCAAATATACATGTAGAAAGAAACAGATATACAAATTGTGGCATGGTCATATAGCAAAACACTACTTGGCTTAAAAAGTACTACAGATGAATTACACTAAGCAAATGAATTCAGTCACAAAAGAGTACATACTAAATGATTCTATACATATCACATTCTAGATAAGGTAAAGCACTAGTCAAAGAACACAGCCCAGAGGTCATCTAGAGTGAAGGGGCAGCAAGGTCTAGGATGTGACCTCAGAGAGGCTTGAGGGAACCTTTCTGGCTGATGACAATGTTCTGTATCTTAATTGCATCAGTAGTTACACACACAAATATATTTTGCAATATTTAGTAACTACACACTTAAAACGAATGCATTTTGTATGTAAATTATCTCTCAAGAATGATATTTTTTTCCAAAAATGGATACATCTTATTTAATGTAATATTTAAAGAAAATAAGGCTATTAAAGGGGCAACAAGAAAATGAATTAGAGAAATTAACGTCATTTTATTTTCATACCCCTTATAAATCAACTTTTTCCAATTTATAAATACCTAACGGATGAATTGAATCTTGAACGTAAATAGCTATTTCTTCCGAAAGTTTTTCATAATCACGAATGTAAAACCTTCGTTCTATTGTTATTTGTTTTTCAGCATGAGAAAAGTTCACAACCTTGTTCAGGCAGACTAAGGATGAGGTATCTGAGCGATTAGAAAGAGAATCATCATTTAACAAAGAACAAAGTAGAGCAGAGGTCAAGCCCTGTGATGGGGGGGTGAGTGTCTCCAGAGAGCTCAGCCTGTGGAAATATTGGTGACAGGCAAAAGGAGCACTTACCATTTCTGGTGCTTTTTTTTTCCCCTTAAGAATTGCAGGAGAAAACTCACTTCTCCTCTTTCCTAATTCTTTAACAGTTTGCTAACCTGATTGGGTAGCTAATGATATATAATTGTGGTTTAGCTTATATTTTCTTGATTAGTACTCAAGAAACATGGCTTATTTTGTGTTAACTGATAACTTGAGTTTCAACTTTTGTGAATTCTTAGTCATAGCTTTTCCAGTTATTTTAGAGGATTGTTTTTCTAATTCTGTGTGTGTGATCTTCATAATTCTCATCCTTTAAAAGTTGCATGTGATGCACAAGTCTCTTCTTATGGTTTGTATTTGTCTCTCTTTTTCTGCTTATAGTTTTTTCATGTTTGCTTTTGTAAATATAACCCTTTGACTATGGAGCACTCAGAAACTAAACGTGCCTACTGGCATTGTTCACACCAAAGGATCATCTTGTTTGAACACCTGTTGGGATTGTTTGCACTCAGAGGTTAAATTTTAGATGACTAGTGTGGTGCCTGTGGCTCAAAAGGGTAGGGCACCGGCTCCATATGCTGGAGGTGGTGGGTTCAAACCCAGCCCTGGTCAAAAATAGCAAATAATAATAATAATAATACAATTAACTTTGAGAATGTTTCCAGGAGTAAACATTTTTTTTCTTTCTTTTTGGTGTCATTCAATAATTGTTCTGGTAATTCATTGAACAATTAATCTTTCCCATTGACTTTTAATGCCTTCATTTGCATATGTTGAATTTCTACACATGTATGTGTGAGTCTAAACTATTGGTTTACTTTTTCATCCATTTACCAATGGTGAGTTACTAGAATTATGCTAGTTTTATAGTTATTCTTATAAAGTATACAACAGTTTCCCAAACTTATTCTTCTCTTTAAAATTTACTATACCTATTTATGGGCTTTGTTTCTTCCATAAATTATATGATCAGCTTGGGAAATTTTTTAAAATACTCGTTCATGATTTTGACTGGAATTGTAATTAATGGAAGAATTTTCATCATATGAGAATGAGTCTTCCCATTCATAAACATGAATAGGTATATCTCTGTATTTACTCACATCTTATCTTCGGTTTCTAAAGTTTATAATATCCATGTGTATTAGAATTAACCTTGAATTGTCTAATTTGTATTTCTACTTTATCATTTAATATGTTGGTTAAAGGGAGTGTTTTATATTAAACCAACCTTGAACATCTAGTCTGGTCATTTTTTTTAAAGGATATTTCACTTACGTTAATAAATGGGGTCATTTTTAATGACTTTTCTCATATACTTTTGTACTATTTGCTATAAAATTTATACCAGCCATATAAAATGACTCAGTAAGCATAGAATTTTTCCTTCTTCAGAAGAATTTTTAAAGTGTTGCATTTTATGTTACTCAAATAAAACTATAAGACATTCATAAAACATCTATGGAGATGTCCTTTTTTTTTTGAGTCAGGGATAAGGTATAGATTTTGCAGATATGGATACCATATGTACAGATAAAATAGTTTTGGTAAATTATAATTTTTTAAAACTCTATCAAGATTTTTACTATTTTTTCTAATGGAAATATATGAGATTTTAAATTATTCTTTTAAAAATTTGGCAACATTCCACACATTTGACATGTAACATTTTCATTATACTTCTAGTTTTTATTAAAATCTCTCATGTGGCCCACTAGTTTTTTGTAACTAGGTTATTAAATAAAATTTGGAGTTGCCTTTCTTGATATTTATTCCTAATTTAAGTTTGTTAAGCTAAAAAAACCTGTTCTATGCAAAAATTACTCTCATACATATTTCCTTTTTTCCAAAAAAAGATTTCTCTCATAGCATAGTATGTGTGCAGTTTGTAAGAATACATTGTATGGTTAAAAATTTCAAAATCTCTACATAATGACTGTGGTTGTTTTGTATAATATCCATAAGAACATAATATATATTTACTGTGTTGTTCAAATA